AAAAACAACATTGAAAATAAATAAATAACAATTAATTTTTAAACATGGTTCAATCAAACGTAATAATACCGAGTTCTTTATCCTTTAAAAAATTGAATTTTTAAAGGGATCCCTTTAAAACCCGTGATGATCCCGGATAGTTCTGATACCTTTAAAAATGAAACTTATGATCTGGATGTCCCAGATACCAGATCCTTTCATCAACTTATAAATAATTTAGAAATTTTTTTGGTAATAACGTCATCCCATGCCCTAAAAATATAAATATATCAATTCCTTTTTTTAAAAAAATATCATATTCTAAAAGATTTCTTACATTTTTGGAAGTACATCCATTTTTTATGGTATCAAAATTTCTATTATTATAAAAAAGAGTTACGTTTTTTTTTTAAATGGCGCAATTGTAAAACGTGAATGTGTACAATTTAAACGAATGCATTATTTGCGTTTGCAAGGCAAGCTACGTTTGAAAAGCTCAATTTGTGGGCACTATTACTCCTTATATAAAAATTTATGGTCATATAATCTTATAAATAATATTTAAAACATCAAATATTAAAAGAATAAAAATATATAATAATCAGAGACCTGCCGGGCCGGGCCGGGCCATATATTTTAAAACCAAATATTTGAAATCGGCATTAATAAATAAAATATATTTTTAAAAAATCCGGGCCGGGCCGAAAAAATTTTTAGAAAAAAATCCGGTATCATTTCTTTTTGTATTTTTAAAAATATATTTCATAAATTTGTAGGAAAAAAAAATACATGAACGCTAAACCCACCAACAATTTCTAATTAGATGTTAATCCAGGTTAAAAACCTAAGTATTATATCTCAGCATAGCAAATCATAGTGTTTCTCTTTTCGAAATCAAATAAAAATTCAAAAAAATTCACATACCACCCCCCCCCCCCTTATCACTCCTCCAATCTTTACTTTTATAAATTATTGATATTAAATTCACCGTTTAAATCGTCGCAATAATATTAACTCGATCCCATATCTAAAAGAATATTCTCAAAAAATATCAAATATTGGTCACAAAGGTTGTAATCTTACTAAATATCTAAATACGTCGAAATTAAATAAAACAATTGACATTTTATATAAAATAAATCAGTGAATCATTACATTTTTTCCCATAAAAAATGGAAAAATCTTTATATATTTTTATGCTAGGTACAAATATAATCTTAAAAAAAAATATGAATAGCAAGTAGGCAATAATTATTTTACCATTAAAATGTGATCATTTGTAATATATAAAAACCCATATGTGTTCCTGCAATTTATATTCGTAATTGGTTTCAAGATCAATTTTTGATAGATAATAAATGGAATTTATCTTACTTTATAAGTAATAATATAATATGATTTAAAAATTTAGTAAAACAAAAAAATAATTATTTTTTTCGTAAAATAATAATTCGCTATCTTGCGGATTAAATGTTATTGAAATTTAAAATGTAATTATAATTTATTTTTTAATACAATTTCTTAACAATTCTCCAACTTACTTTTAAATAGAATTAATTTAATTATTAATTTATTTTATTGTAAATTCCCCAAATCAACAAGTCGTGATACTTTTTCCATTATACAATTGATTTTTGGTACAAATCTTTGAGAAAAAAAATTAAAATATAAACTTGTACAAATTTCGAAGAGGAAAAAAAAAATATAAATTTATTTATAAACAACTTTAAAAAAAATATAAATTTTTATTAATTAAAGTTTGTAATTATAACCTTAACCAGGCATCCACTAACCTAGTGAAGGTCAACGGTCCGATCCTATCGGTCTTAGACCGGACCGATCTTTTTCTTGAGGACCGTGGTCCACACCGGTCTTTTTATTTTTTACGGTCAAGACAGCGGTCCGGACCGGTCCTTTATTATTGTTTAAGTTTGCTTTACTATACAATTAATATAATTTTTTTGTACATTTTTTTTATGATATTTTTCTAGAGGAGTCATTTTAGATTTTGTTAATTTTTATTTTACAATATGAAAACCATAAGTTTGTCCAAGAAACATTTTACTTATAGTCCCAATAAAAACATAGAGTATGTGTTCACTGCAGTACCAAATTTAATGTATCGTCAGCAGCACCTAGTAACAAAATAATTGTTTATAATTTTTTAAGCAATAAATTAATCAAAATAAGCAATAATATTATTAAAATATTTTAGTTATTATATAGTTCTATTTTTTTTAAAGAAACTGTCTGTATAATTTATTGTAAAAATTACTTAACCTTATTCTTAATAAAATAATTAGGTACCTTAAGCAGACATCTGATAAAACATAAAATATATACTTCTAATGATGAAAATGAAAATATCTCAAAAAACACAATCTACTCGTAATTTTAACATGCCCTCTACAAGCACAAAATCATTTTTTTCAATACCATTGGATAAATTTTATTGTTTATATAATACTCTTATATTTAATAAAATGATAAAACAAATCAAATTAGGTTAAAAAATATGTTTTTTAAACAAATAAGACCGGTCCAGGACCGGTCTTTTTATTTAGGACCACGGTCTGGATCGATCTTTTTCTTAAGGACCGTGGTCCGGTCCGAGGGTATCGGTCCAGTCTGGACCAAAGACTGGACCGTGACCTTCACTACACTAACCTCACTCCCTTTTTATTTTTTTTAATTAACAACACTTGAAATTCCCTTTTACGGCCTGACTGAGAATAAATAGACCATTATAATATACAATAAGGGGGAAAAAACGAAGAGAGAGAAAAAATTAAAAAAAAAAAATCAAATATACCGCAACATATTTCTTAACTTATAACACACAAAAACATATTAAAAAAAATGTTTTTATCTTCCCTTTACAACAAACCTTCCACCGCATATCCAACCTTTATTCCACTTTTTATTAATTACTAAACAACATTAAAAATATATAATTTTTAAAAAAAAAACACGTGCACTCTCTTATCTCACATTATCAAAAATATTCCTTTCCTTTCATTTTCTTCCGGCGACCTGCCAAAGATGAAAAACAACCACAAATATGTAATAAAAATATCAAAACGGTTTCTATAACTCAATACACGATTCCCCTTTAACCATTAACAATATAATGTACCTCAAATTTCCATTTTAATCTTACATTACATTTTAACTCTTATTTATGACTAACAACTGGTAACCTCAATGAACACCAACTTTTCTCATTACGAACATGAAAGAATTAAAACCAATACCCTTGCATTTTATATCAATATATCTTACTGCCCTCGTGTAATAATAAATAAACCAAAACAAAATGTTACCAACAGTTCACATACATTTTAATTCCCCTTTATGCTTTATCTTTTCATAAATATCTTTTACCGCTGCTCTAAGGTGAGTCTAAACCTTCGGGTTGAACTCCCATTTTTATTATTATTTTTTTTTTTACATTATACCTATCTAAATTCTACTTTTCATTCCCTCCAAACTACCCTCTAAATCGGACATGATCATTATGGCGCATCACCGTGCCGCCCATTTCCAACTGAATCAAACTCAACTTCGAGCCTTTATTTTCACTGACAATGCCCTTGACTTTTCTGCCCCTCCCATCAAACAGGCGGGTCCATACCTTTTCCCCAACACCGAATTTAAATTTCATGTCTTCCAGAACTACATTTCCTTTGTCCTTTATTTTTAAAAAATCCAACGGCAAACTAGTCCTCCGACGAAGGAACAATTCCGTAGGACTCATTCCCTCCCGATTTCGCGAGTTAAGATAATACAACTGAGCTAAGTACGCTCCATCCTTATAATTTACTGATTTCCTTAGCCAATTCTTAACGACGGCTACCATTCTCTCAGCCTGCCCATTCGAGCTGGGATGATAAGGCGGCGTCAAAATATGCCGAGTCTGTGACTCCACACAAAACTGCTTGAATTCATCGCTCACGAATGCTGGTCCCCCGTCAGAAACAATGGTATCTGGCAAACCGAATCTGGCATACAATTCCCGTAATTTCCTAATCACTATTCTGGTGGTATGCCCATTAACCTCGGTGTATTCCACCCATTTTGAATACTAATCAACCAATAGAAAATACGCCCTTTTATCCAGATCAAAGAAATATATGTGAAGACGCTCCCAAGGTTTCTTTGCCCGGGGCCAAACCTGACCTACCTCCTTACGGAGCATAGCTGCACAAGTATTACAAGGAACGCATTTCATTGTAATTTTTTCGATATCCTTGCCCATACCTGGCCACCAAACATACTCCCTCGCCCAAGATTTCATCCTTTCCCTACCTTGATGTCCCGCATGTAATAAATTCAAAATTTTGCCACGTAATTTATAAGGAATTACTGCTCTATTTGCCCTCATTACACAATCATCAACAATTGACAATTCCCTTTCAATCTTTTTAAAATTTTTACCATTATTTTCCCACGGTTTTTTCCCCGTTAAATATAATTTTATTTGACTCAGCTCTTTATCTTTTAAAGTACTGACTTTAAGTTCTTCCCAGTTGGTAGGACCTCCTCGGAGCATATGCGAAAGCGAACACACCAATGCTTTCTCATTGTCCCGAACCTTATCATTATTCCCTTAGTCATTTCCTTCATTTAATCCTAATCGGGACAAAATATCAGGCAAACAATTCTCTTTACCCCGACGATAGGATCTCCACGTTAGAGCTGTCCACCAACAACAACCAACGTTGTAACCGGAGAGACATCATTAACTCCCGATTGTTCTTCCGGAATAAGTGAATTAACGGTTTGTGATCAGTAAAAATTACAAATCTTTTACCAATCAAATACTCACGGCATTTTGTCAAACCAAAAATCACTGCCAGGGCCTCCTGTTCAATCACAGAATACCTGGTCTACACCTCCCGAAAAACACGCGAGAAAAACAACACGGGTCTCTCCAAGCTCTCTATTATCTGTAATAACGCCCCACCAACTCCCTTATTTGAAGCATCCACCGCCAAAACAATTTCCAATTCATTATCAAATCACACCAAAACCGGCTCCTTTCCAATTTTTTCCTTTAAAATTTCAAAAGCAATTTGCTGTACATCCTTCCACTCAAAATGAATTCCTTTTTTCAATAAATCATATAACGGCGCCGCGACCTTTGCAAAATCTTCCACAAACCTATGGTAATAATTGACCATACCCAAAAAAGACTGCAACTCGGCCTTATTGTCGGGCCGTTTCATGTTCGATATATTTCTCAAATTTTTATCCAAAGGTTTTACCTCAATTCCATTAATTCGATGACCCAAATATTCAACTTCCATTACCCCCAGAACACTTTTCTCCTTACTGGCTCTCAAGCCTTTGTCACAAATTCTCCTAAACACTTCCTCCAAACGTTGATTATGCTGCTCCGGCGTCACGCCGGTAATTAACACATCATCCATATAATAAAACACTCCTTACAATCCTTAAAAAACTGACGCCATGGTCCGTTGAAAAATCGGCGCCGATACACTCAACTCAAACGGTAATCTACAAAAAGCAAATAACCCCTTTAACGTCGTTATCGTCAATAATTTACGAATTTTTTCCTTGAATGGTAACTGTGAATACGCTGAAGAAAAATCAACCTTTGAAAAATATTTAGCCCCCTTTAACTGAGCCAAAATCTCTTCAATCCGAGGCAACGGATATTTTACCTCCACTACCCATCGATTTACCGTGACCCTGAAATCAGCGCAGAGCCTCAATTTACCATTTGATTTTTTAACCGGAACCAAAGGAGTAGCCCAATCACTATATTCCACAGGAATGATGATACCATCCTTAACCCAATGATCTAACTCCTCGTCAATTTCCTTTTCCCATTCAAAAGGAACCATTCTACAAGTCAAAAAAATCGGCGAAAAACCCTCTCTAAGTTGAACATCCACCTGATAATCATTTAAGCATCCCGATTTTTCTTCAAAAATTATACCATATTGTCTAACTAAAATGGGAATAGCACTGTTCACGGTATTCCATTCATTTATTCCCCCGGCCATAATTTGCTTCTCATTTATCTCATCATCAAAATCCGACTTACTCGATTTCTTTATCATCTACTCCGAAATTTCACAAATTTTATTACCGGTATTATCCAAATTTACATTCTCTTCAACATCAGTTATTACACTACCATTAATATTAAAAATATTCCAATAATTATTAGGAGGACCAAGCTTGGTAATCCAATCCCAACCCATAATAGTCTCAACATTTTCCTTTACTACCCATAAATCAAGGAAAAACATAGTATCGTTAAGCTGCACCCCCAATTTATTTTTTCCTAAAAACCACCATTTCAGACCCATCAAATTGTCTGACACACATGGACTCTTTCTCAAGTGTTTCTCCAGGCCAATACTTATAAAAATTTTTGCTAGACATAATCGAAATGCTAGCCCCCGTATCAAATAACATATCTATATCCTTATTGCCAATCTTCAAATTAACCTTCGGACACAAACATTGTCCATTTAAGATCTCCGTCACTAAAATATCATACACTTTAGTAGGAGGATCAATGCTTATTCCACCTGAAATAACCATTTTATTAGAATTAATATTATCTCCTAAATTAAACTCGGAATTTAGATATTTTTTACTGACAATCATATTTCTTTTCACAAGATTTTTGGGACATTTTTCCCACCGAAAACTCCTGACATCCCTTCTATTCAAATATCGGACAATATTCACAGGATATTGTTCCCATTTGAAACCATTAATATTTTTTTTATGAGAATTAAGGGAAAAAACACTCCCTTTCATTTTATCATTACCATTATCAAGTTTTCCATTATCATATTAACAATTTTCTCGATACCTCGGTCTCCCGACCCCTATATGATTAACTCTGCCATCATATAGTCACCGCGAATTTTGAGGTATTTCATTGCATCGCATGGCCACATGACCCGGCCTACGACATTTAAAACATATTTGAGATTCATTCACCCGAACAACTTTTACACTGGCATTTACAACCTCAGATTTCTTTAACAAAAATCCATCTTTAAACCTCGCTCGGGTACCACGCCGGTATCCCTTTTATGTCCTCTCCATTCACACCGATTGCAAATGATCATTTCCACAAATCTTTTATTTCCCGACAATTCCTTATTTTCCTCGTAATCATTAAATTTTCTATTAATATTTTTATCACCCACCTGACTCTTAACCGGATTTTTGCTTTCCCTTATCAACGCATTGATGGATTTCTTTTATTTCCAGGAGGATCCTAACTGACCTCTCCCCAACATTTCCAGCCTTGATTTCTTCTAAAACATCTTTTAGATTACTTTCCAAATCTGCTATTTTCTTCCCATAAATATCCAATATTAAATTAAAATACGTTTCCGCCATTTTTTTTTATAAATATCTGACACCGCAATGTCCTTCTTCCAACTGCAATACATGCCTGCCAGTACCGCAGTACCCCTTTTTATCAAATATTTCGCCATAATGACCAATATATAAATTATTACCAATATCCCAATTACCATGCCCTGCTTAATTAAATCCAATTCATCAAAATTTTTATACAAAACTTTAAGACCCAAATTCTTATATAATGAAATCTTAGCAGCCACACTATAATCATCATGATACCTAAAAAAATGAACCATTTGGTCATGAATCTTTTAATCAATACTAATACTCAATTACAAATACTCTAAATATTTGTAGAAAATATTAATACAGCACCTTAAATAAAAACTCCACTAGCAAAATCGTATAATGGTTAATACAAATGCGCAGTCACAAAAAAATTCAAGAAAATTATATAATTAAAAAAATTTTTTTCACCTTCTAAACCGAATAACTCCTAGGCAACGATCTGGTCACGGCACCACTAAAACAAAACCAAAATAATAGAAACCGTACTAAAACAAAACCAGAAAAGTAGAAACCGTGAACAATATAAAGAAAAAAATAACTAAATTGGCCAAGATCCACAAATAAAAGATATACTTACTAAAAATTCACACTCTAAATAACCTGGCAATTTTTATTATACAAAAATAGTTTTTCAAATCTTTTATTCAAAAACATAATAATCATTTTCCTACAAAAAAAATAATGAATCATAAATATATCTATTTCTTTTTTTATAAAGAAAATATCTCTATTTTTAAAAGCTAATTATCAATGATTGACATGTATATATAAAAAAAACAATATACAACATTTACGACAGTATTTCTCACGTTTCCTATTATAATAATTCATTTTATTCAAATTACTAATCAATTTAAAGATATTTTATTTCATATAAATGACAATAAAAAATTTCCAACACTCCAGCTCGTTAAAATTTATTTTACAAATGATAATTGTCTTTTTTTATTAAATATATTCAAATTTTTTCAACCACTACAAGTGTTAAAAATTTTATTATTATAAATATATGATTTCTCGATTTTTATGTGATTAATTCGCAATTCATATAGTCAACTACAAACCACTCTTGAATACAATTCATAGCAATATGACCCATTTCCACATTTGAAGCACATTCGAGTACTATCCATATATATTACACTTAGATCTGAAATAATTGGATTTTTTTATGTTACTACCGGATTTATCAATATTGGTGGTCTCTTTGGAAAATAATTTTTAAAATTTACTTCTTTCACCATGCAATTTCTTTTTATATGACCTAAAAAGCCGCATCGATGACAAACCATATCATTTTTATCACTTATTTTTGCATGAGCGTTACGCGAAAAACAATTTTTTTTTTCTCTATGACCTTTTCGGCCACAAATATCACAATTTTCAATAAAATTATTATTTTTATTTCTAATAGTATATATTTCTTTAGAAAGGTTCTTCAACTTTTATTTAATTTCTCTGATCTCACATAATTAAATATTCATTTTCACTTTGTTCAACATTATTAGTGACACTATTACTTTTTATAATCTTCACAGGTTTATCAACCACAACCTCAGATTTTTGCTTTTCTAATTTCACTCGCAAGTGAATTTAAATTAACATTTATATCTTTCGATATACATACACTTTCGGAAAAATTAGATACCCTGTATCTAAACCTTTCATTAGATTATTCCCGCTGGAATCATCTATTTTCTCACTACTTGAATTTTTAAGCTCAAGTAAAATCAAGTTCAAACTATTTTTTATATATTCAGAAAAATCTAAAGACTTGGCAGATGCTATAGAAATTACAAGCAGAAAATTTGGATCATCTAACTTACTCATTTTATTTACAAAATATTTCTTCTTAATTTTCTTAACTAATTGTTGAACAAAAATTAATGATATATACAGTAGTGATCTGTATCGGGCCTAATTTTATAAACTCGACCCGGCCCGAATTTATTTAAATATAGAAATTAATTTTTATAATCACTCAAAATAAAAGACATATGTTATATGGCATCTGATTTCTATAAATAAATTCAAATATTTTTATTTTACATAAAAAATTCATTATAAAATTGATAAGTTTAGATAAATTTTAAAAAAATTCTAAGGCCCGACCCTACCCGGCCCAAATTTAAGCCCACCCCGAAGCCCGTTCTGGCCGGGCCGGTCCTACTTCTGCAGATCTTTAATATATAGTATAAAAAAAAAATTAAAGCTGTAACCACACTCTTGGTCACATCCAATTTATTAAACTTCGAATTAAAAACTTTATAAATAATATTCTTATAAATATGCATTTTATTAAAAGTAAGACTCCTACGAAAACTAGTGAAATAATAAATCATATTTTTGTTACAAAAATTCTACCAAAATTTTAATTATTTTAAAAATTAATTATCTTCAAAAATTTGCGTAGTGTATAAAAAAAAATTTTTTTTTAAAATTAACATTACAATATATATTTTTTTTTATAAATTTTTGTTATTTAAGCAATACGATTATTTTTTGACTCGCATCCATATTTATGTATTTCAAAAATTATTTTTCACAGTAATATCGTATGTTGTATATATATTTTTTATTATATTGATATTTTAATAATCTTTTAAAGGTATAATAAATGTGTGTGATTTGCGTCACTTAATAACGCAAACAAAGATTTTATATAATATATATCAGGAGAAAATTCTAAAAGTTGTATCTAAATATGCTTGGTTTCTATTCAAAAATATATATAAATTAAAACGACAACTTTAAGATGTTTAGTAATTGACAATGTTTAATATATTTATTCTAATTTTAAAAATAAATTATATATAGAATATATCTATATATAAGGTGTGCAAAAGACAGATAAAATCCAATATGGCATTGGTTGGATTGGATGCCAAGGATGCAATATATGGATTCATTTTAAATATAAAAAAATATAATTACTAGATTTTAGATCATATATAACATAAAATTTTATAATAATCGGATATTTTTTTTAAAAAAAATATAAACATTTCAAAATACACCATTAATTAAATTTTTACATTGATTAATCAAAAACAAAGTTTAGGATTTAATCCTAAAACCGAAATAAAGCTTCAAGTATTTTATATTGTATAAACTATTTTTAAAATTTGCTCTAGCTATTTTAGCATATAATAATTGCCTATTAGTGTATCTTTGTTTAAAATAATTTCTATATATTAACATGTATAACTATGTTTTATTAGAAATATGAGAATAATTGGTAATGTTTCACAAAGTAACTCGTAACAAAACTATTATATAACCGGATGTTTAAAATAAAAGTTTGTATTTAAAATCTTTGTAAATAGAAGGCTTTTTTTAAAAGGTTAGTAATACTATCAAGCATATTGCAATTTTTTCCTAATTTGCTAATTATAGATTAAAAAAATATCTTCCATTTTTTAAATATATTTGATTACTGGAATTACGCGTTCGCTTCTAATCTATCATATATAATCCCCCTAAACCACAAAGTTGACTTGAATCGAACTCAGAACTATCGGAATGACAAGACAGGTTTATACCATCTAGACCAGAGACCTGCAGAGGTACCATTTGCACGGCCCGGCCCGGTTTTAAATTTTTTAGGCCAAGCCCGGCCCGGATATTTAAAAAAAAAATTTTACGGCCCGGCCCGGATTTAAAAATTTAAGGCCCGGCCCGGATATTTTTCAAAAAAAAAATTTCAGGCCCGGCTCGGAATTTTTTAAAATTATATTCGACCTGGTATATACAAAAATTCACCTATGAGGTATTTTACCATATTTTTCAGCGAGTATTATTGCTTATTATTTAAAAAATACATGTAAAAAGCGAATATTTTGAGAATATTATATTGAATTTATAAAAATTATAAAACTGTTATTTATAAAAATGGATATTTTGAGTATATACTATATTATATATTGCATTTATAAAAATAAAACTAATATTCATAAAAATGGTAATAATATTTTGAGCATATACTATATTTTATATTGCATTTAAAAAAAATAAAACTTATTTAATTTATAAAAATGGAAAATATTTTGAGAATATAATATATTGTATTTAATTTACTATTTAATTTATAAAATAAAAATATCGCTATTTAAAAAAATGCATGTATAATAAATAGTATTTTGAAAATATAATCTAATTGCACAATATTAATATAATTTATTTTATAATATAAATTTTTAACAAAAGAAGATAATTGTATTATATAATATTGTAAAAAAAAATAATGAAAAATGTTGGATTAAAAACTTTCATGACTCAAGGTAAATATAATAAATGCAATAAATATTTGACAGTTTGCAAAGTAAGTAAAAAACCAGCATGATTGACGAAACCCTATACTCAAGAAAGATATTAAAAATTCACAAATTATCATGAAGAAAGAGAAGCATATCTATCTTTTCAGGTTGAAGATTACTTCTTCCTTCTTCAAGAATTCTCCCAATAGTGGAAAAATTCCGCTCACAGTTTGCACTTAAAGCAGGAATTGCCAATTTTGCTAAAATTGGAAATTCGCTTTGATGAGCCGCCCACTACTCTAACAAATTATCCACCTTAAATGTTTTATCTATTATTTATGTAATTATAATATTCATCATCGGGTATTGACATATTACCAGAATTACCATGGCCCCATTCATAAAACGATTCAGTTTGTTTAACAGTCGTAATTTGACTGGTCGATGGTATTTCATTTACTTCCTGAGCCTCTTGTAATTTAATATAATCTTTTATATAGTTTTCCGTCATTTTGCGATCTGTCCCTGACTACATACGTAATTGCTTGAATTTGGGACAGAGAAAAAGAGAAATAAAATGATACTTGTGTAAAACAAATTTTTCAATTAAAAAATGCTTTATATTAAGTAAAATCAATTACAAACTTTAAGAAGTGATAATCCTTTATTTGATTGTTTTGGTAAAATATATTCTAAAAATTTAGATATGAATTATAAAAAAATATATTAATAATACTTGAATATTGGGGCTAATTTAAGATATTCCTTTATTTATTGTTTTGGTAAAATATGTTGTAAAAATTTAGATATGATTTATAAAAAAATATATTAATACTTTGAATAAATTTGCAGGAAATTAATAATTAGATCGATCTGTGGGTTGTTAGGTAGTGTTAACCATCACCCAATATTATATTAATCATAACTATAATATAATATAATCTTATAACCATTGACTCATAATGTAAAAATTTTTATAAAAAATATTAAGGCCCGGCCCGGTTAACAATCTTAAGCCCGGCCCGGCCCGGATATATTTAAAAAAATATTTTTTAGGCCTGGCCCGGATATGTTTAAAAAAAATTTTTTTAGGTCCGGCCCGGGTATATTTAAAAAATTTAAAATACGGCCCGGCCCTGCCCGGGCCGGGCTTAGGGCCGATTTTTAAAAATTAATATTATAAGAGGCAGTTTCAATACAAATAAAAAAAAAATTAAAAATTGATTTTATCACTGTATCTGGTATTAACTAACAATAATCTTTTAAGTTATTAATTAAGGGGGTATATTAATTAAAATATATTGTTAAAATTTTTAAATCAGCTTTCTTTGAGAAAATCGAGATAAAAATTGTTAAAAACAAAAATTATTATAGCTCCTCAAATTTTTCTGAAAATATGCTAGATATGTTCGGGATTCCCTTTATAATACGAGGGCTCGGATGGATTGATAGCAGGATTGGAAAAAATTAATTACAATGACACTAGATCCCATTTTGATAAGATAAATATGATTCTGCATAAACAGGTTATATTTACCGAGAACGAGTATTTTAGTGAAAAATAAAAAATGAATACTACCATTTTCTGAATCCCCTAGAAGAGCTTGAACATGAGTTTGCATTCATTTTTTTAAAAAATAATGTATATTTACGAAGAACACATAATTTAGTCAAAAAAAAAGAAAAATTGTTTCAAAAGTCCCATTAAGTTATAAAAAATTTATAAACTTAATATTAACATTTTCTAAATGAGCTATATATGATTCTGTTTTCATTTTTTTATAAATTCATGTAAAAAGATTATTTTTTAAAAATTTTATTATGTTACTATTTTTTTTTAAAAAACATTTTCTAAATCATCTTATGAAGCTAAACATGATTCTATATTTAAATTATTTAAATAACTTTTTTTTATAGGGAGTGTGTAGTTTCCAATGGCGATATTATAGTAATGCCCTAAATTAGTTTATTAATCATTATGATGTAAAAAAGAGAGTACACGCAAATAAAAGATTAAAGAATACCAAAATAAGGCATATTATTTTCAATAAATTCAATATCCAATTTTCATTCATCATTTCTATTTCTTTTTACAATTTTCATAAAATTACAAAAAAGTTTTAGCTTTCAAATTATATTTTAAAATACTTTTTCTTTTAAAATTATTTGATTTTTTTGAAATTACAAATAAATTTAATTTTGATTTTGTTATTTTTTATTATTAGTAAATTATATATAAAATAAAAAATATTATAAATTATATTTTTATATATAATGATAAATTGCATGAAAACAATGAAAATAACAGCCCAAGTAAATATATCAACCCCAATCCAATATTTAAAATTATCAATTGATATATTTACATAAACTTCAAATTGTATTCTTGATAAATTTTCAAAATTTACTTAATTCTAATATATTACTATTTTTAAAGGCAAATTATTTATTAACTAATTACAATGGCATATAAAATATATATCAAAATAAATCATATATAAGCAAATAGATCAAGCTGATAAATGTTGTGATGTTGGTTCATATATTGATATTTCTAACTATTTAAATTATAAAAGTATCAAAATTTTTGTTAAAATTACCACACGCAATCCTTTCTCTAAAGGGTCTGTTAAATATAAGCCTTTTGGAATGTATATACTTTCATTCTGCTCATGTATATATTTTCGTATTTTCTTTAAATACTTTTTAGGAAAGATAAAATTACATAATATACATTTTTGTATTTTATACCTTTTCACAGGTAGTGTCAATAAAAATATAAGATAAATATGCAGTCATACAACCCAAACACCCTTCAATAAATGTTCTAGGTCCGAATTTTTCTGCTTCTCTATACATTTCATTGAGTGTATTAATTGTATCTTCGAAATATTGTTTATCAATCTTTTATCAATATAAAACAATTTATAACTAATATATAACCTTTCCCTCTAACTCCGGTGGAAATTTATTTTTAAATTTGCATATCGTTCCCTCTTGGTAATCTCTTTGTATATAGATCTGTGTAATACTCAAAGGTGTATTGTCCATATCGAAAATGAATGTCTCATTTTGACATTATATTTACCGAAACAGAAATTCAGCTGATATAAAATTACTCAAAGCCTTTTATTGAAAATAAATTCGATTTGCACACATATTGCGAACGCTTTTATATAACATCCTTAGAAAGTAACATATAAAGTATACTTTATTTTTCCTATCAAAAAATATTTATATATTTTCATGAAAGGGGTTATTTATAATATATTTTAAAGCTCTTTTTATTTTTTAATAAATGGGAAATAGTAAATCAAGGGAAATGATAATTTAACGCCATATGCCTATCATTAAGAAAAAAACTTTTTTCATAGGCCATAACGAATCAATAGAATTTCACGAAGATATTAAAACGAACATATATTTAGATAAACATCTTGCCCACATTTTATTTACAATCAATTTTAAAGAAATAAATTTAAGTTCAGGATATAATTCTTTATGTTTTTATCATATAAACTAAATTTTAAGCAATTTTTATCAGATAAATTAAAAACATGTTAATTGTAGCAATGTTAATAATTCTTTATATTTTTAACAAACTAAATGTTTGGTTTTATCATCAGATATAAACAATTGGTAATCTTCAGGCTTAATTCAAGCATAGGCATTAATTCTTTATATTTTCAGCCCATAAATTAAACTTTTTGAAATAAAAGGAGACCTGCTTTAATTTGGAAGCTATTTGTATTATATAAATCTCTATTCAATCAGGTAATGAACCAAACATCTTCTAAATCATAAACATCCTATTTCTTAAAAAAAATTAATTCTTGATGTAATATTTTTATCTATTTATTTTTATATATCTTAGGAAAGGTTGATGTTTTTAGTCAATATCATAAGAATGAGGAAAATATTCTGAAATGGTAGACTAGAGTGTGATTTAAACATTTTAAAAGTAACATCTAAACGTGGTGATCTCAACAACTTACCGACGAATTGATTTTTCGATATTATAGTAATTGTCCATAAATTTTATATTAATTTCAAGCCCCCCACATGCCCCCCTCCTAACTAAAAATTTTTAAAATTATTTTGACCTGAAAAATTTTTTGCATAATTACTAAATTCGAGTGTAATAAGAGAGAACTAACCTCTGTTCATTCAAACCATTATCACTAAAAATAATATTTATTTATGTCTGCCGAAATACCTAATAGCCCCCGCATCCCATTTAATGAGGTACAATGAGAACATGTAAATGTAGAAATCTCCTCATAAAAATGAGAACGCTTTAAAAAAAATTGTCATAAGATCGTAGTATCGTCAGTTCTGTCCTGTATATATGTCTATTCTATCAAGTTTTTTATTATAATAAGAAATTTTATTATTCAATAGAATTAAATTATTCCTGATCAAATCAGATTTTAGGTTTATTAAAAGGCAGAATATTTAGATGAAATCTTTATTCTATTCTTATGAATTCGATTTTTTCTTTTTAAGTAAATTTCAATATTATGTCTACTTTCTTTTACCATTATATACAAAGTTAATTTCATATAGAATTTATTCGACGAACAAATATAAATCGAATAATTTATTTGTATCTTGTTTTTGTCATTCTTTGAATTTAATTTTGAATAGGCCTATTCAAAACAAATAAATTATACTCTTATTTTTTGTTGACGCCTTGAACGTAATTTTATATCAAGTTTTTCTTCATGCTTCATCATGGAAATCGCAAACATAACTGAGGTCTTTAAAACGCGTCCTATCCTTTCATATGACTTGACATTGACCTATATCATAAATAATTTTTTAATCCAACATATCTTTGCCAATTTGAGAAAGTTAGTCATGGCCGTACAAAAACAAATTACATTTTAATTTACTCTAAGTGTGAATGCAGGGTTACGGAGAATAATTCCGCGAAATATATTTTAACTTAGTTTCCAAAATACCAACCCCCCCCCCTTCTCAAACCGAAAAATAATTATGGAATTTTTTTACCCCGCATACTATACTTTTACATTTCACAAAACATGTATAATATAAATTATATATGGAGTCCAGGCTGCTATTTTGGAATTCAGAATTAGGAAGAAAAATCAAGTTAAGCTAGAACGCGGCCTAAAACTTATTTCTCGAAATTAGGTATTTTAAAAATACATAAGTCACTTCGGCCACATAATGTAAAATAATTCCTTCATTATCAAGCCATAAATGACATTATGTAATTTCATCACCCTCCGAAGTAGCTGAAGCGCGTGTCAAGTATTTTAGCTAGCTCCCATGCAAATTTTTTACTTTGGACATATCCTTAAATTCAAAACACAATTATATCGTTATTAACTATTGGAATTATATTTGAATTATAAAATGATTCAAGATACTCAATTTTATTGCAAAATTATTTTACATTTTATATTAATTTGCATTACACCATAAATAAATGGAATGTTTATGATAAAGTAATACTAGAATTTGTATAATATTTAACATATAAAGTTTTATAAATATGTTATGATTATAAACTTTATAAGGTAAATCGTCTATTAAATTTAATGATTGTTCTTAAAAAGGAACTGTAATCAAATTTTTAGTCGGGTGTATAAAATTTTAGCATCAATGGTAATGTGACAAATTTTGTTTATGTTTTTCAAAAAAATTGAATGCTATTGGCGAAAATTTGGCATTGGTTGATATAGCTCTTAGTCTAAAAAGAAACGAGATGTTTTTTCTGCGAAAATAATTAGCAGGTTAGCGTCGAAAATATTTAAATAAAATGATGAGACACACACTATATAGTTCCAAATTAGTGCTTTTCTCGATAAAAAGAAATTCCAATAGGGTCATTGTGCCTTAACCCGCATAAGTTATGAGCCCAAGGTGGTTCGGTATATGAGCCAAAAGTCAGCAATAATGGATATAAACCCGTCCTTCTTTTTATAAGACTTTTTTTAACCCTCCTGTCCGTGGTTTTTATATAAAAAAATAAATAATAATACATTAATAGATTTGGTTTTTTATTTATTATTTAACCTTACAAAATTTCCAATATTTTTGAAATAAAAAATTAATTTTATATTTGATGTATACACGTTTTGCTCATCATTTAAAATTCATCTGGTAATTGTTTTTAAAATATTTCCTACCCTAAAACTAGAGGTCCATATCGAGAGGAGCGAATTAAAGTCAACCTATTACATTAAATTAATCGCTTTACTTAGGGGCTGCTTTTTCAAAATATAGTGTGATATCTAATAAAAATATTTTAAAATACTTTTGTTTAACATTTTACGAATGAGAACCAATACTTGAATACGGGGTGTTTTTGTTTTTCCAGAGTGGGTTCAGATCCACTTTGGAAAATACCATTCGTTTGCGCACAAAAATTCCACAAAAAAAAATAATTTCAAATTTTTGAAAACTTATGTTCAGATACTGGTAAAAGTAATACTAGAATTATATTTTGGATATTGGCAAGATAAAATAAATTATCATAAATATACGAATTGCCCATAAAAATTTAAAATATGATTCTAAAATAGTGATCGGTTGGGCCGATCCACAAATTTTTCATTAATTCAATATTTTTTGAAATTAATACAAAACCTATCATATAAGGGATAACAATCCGCTCCTATAAAGAATTTGCTTCTTATGGACAAAGCAATAATTAGTACCGTATCATAAATATTGCTTCATTTAAAATATGGGCAACCAGTTTTCAAAAACAAATAGTCTGAACTATATGATGAATCGAATAATTTAATTCGTATTCTTGCTGATAAAAAAATTTCTTCAATTCATAGATTTGTTTTTTAAAAAATAACATAAATAGGAAAATATATTGACAGAATTTTTAATTTGCTTTGCACATCTAATTTTAAACAGAAGAAAAAATATCGTAATCTGATAATAAAGTCAGCAAATTAGTTCCAACTAAGGAAAACCTTTGGCAAGGAGTTGATGTAATCTCTGTTAATCACATCATCAGGCAGAATTGATAGATTAACAATAGGAACGAAAAATGATTCAATTTTATTAAAAAAACAATAATTATTTCAAATAATTCTAATATTCGATCAAATTATTAATTACTCATATTCCAACAAAACGAATAATTACGTTTTTGAATAAGCCTAATGAGCAATGTTTATGGCTGAATATTAAATCGTTAAATATTTTTAATTTCTTTTGTTTTTAAAAAATTTAAAATTGATTTCATTTATTAATAGATGATTATTAAAATTAAAACATTAGATAATATACAATAATAAAAAAAATGAAAATATTGAAGTGGTCAATTTTTTGAAAATTTTTGCCCAATTATTTTTTTTTAAAAAAATATAAGTATTAGCCCTGATTTAAACTTTAATATCAACACATCACTAATATGTGATACAAATTTCATAATTGTAATAGTAATAGTAGAATAATTCATTATCTTGGAATTATTGAATATCAAAATATACAATAACTGTGCACAAATTAAAATAAATCAGTTACTTTTTTATGATCATATCAAGGGTATTATTTATCATAGTGATACCTGTGCCAGGCTACACAAGCATTGTTTAATATAATTTATTCTACAAATAAATATTATACTTGATATAAGCAATAATTTGTTTTTTAAATATAATAAAAAAATTGCTTAAAAACAATAAATACATTTAAAAAAAAATGATTTACAATATAATGAAAATTAAAACTAAAAAATATTAAGATTTCAAAAGATGCTTTAATCTAGTTCTTTTGGTGAGATGTTTTAAGGATCCAGCTATAACAATATCTTCAATAGTATAAATCTCATTTATTGAATTTAATTCCTTTTCCATAAGAAATACTTTCAATTTTTTGATAATTTCATTTGCTTCTACATAATTTATAAGATCATAATTATCACCATCATTATCATCATCTGGCTTCTTAAATTTATCATTTTTTACAGTTCTAAATTCTTTAATTAAGTCATTTATAATATCTTCTATATTTTTGTAATGATGAACAACTCTAAAATTGTTTTCAAAATTTACAAAATAATGGCCCAATACATCCGAATTAATAATAGATGAATTTAAATAATCGGTATCAATATCCATTAATTCTTGAGATTCAATATCATCCAAAAATCCAGATTTATAAAAACATTTTTTGATTATTGTAGGATTAATATCTTTTGCAGCCTTTGAAACCCAATATATAGCATCCATTAAATCTATGTCATGTTTCGTATCTAATTCCATATCACTAATTACCCTGTTTTATATAATTTATTGATTTAAAAAAAATTATAGTTAGTTACCGTTTGATAAATGAACTTCTGTATAAAACTTTAAAATTTTGTATTATACCTTGATCCAATGGTTGCATAAAAGAAGAGCTAGTAGGTGGTATAAAGACTAATTTAATATTTGATAGTTCATTGTTGGTATAATTAAATAAATCATTTAGAAATATTATTATATTTCTGTTGTCATTTATAAGAGTATCATTTAAATTATTTAACCACTCTTCAAAAATGGAATATACCATCTGTGCCTTATTGTTTGCTTTCCATGTAACAGGCAGATCATTACTATCTACATTACCAAAACATTTTGGTTTAAAACATTTTCCAATAACTAATGGTTTTAAGACTTCTCCATTCATATTTACAGCTAATAATATAGTTAATCGCTCATTAGAATCATTTTGACCTTTTTATAAAATAGTTTACATGCATTTATATTATTTACCAACCAGCTTGTTGATATTTTTCTATTGATGATGCTTTTGGAAGTGCTCTATAAAATAAAGTAGTTTCATCTACATTAAATACATCTCTGCTAGAATATCCTTGTTCTTGTAAAATTTCAGGAATTTTTAACTTAAGCTCTGCACCTCTAACTTCTGTTGATGCAGATTCTAAATTCATGTTTGAAAAATTTATCTTATGCCTATGTTTAAATGATTCAAGCCAACCATTTGAAGCATTGAAATTATCTTGTTTTAAATGTTTCGCAAATTGAACTGCAGCATTTTGTAATATAGGTCCTGATATCTTTAGCTCACTAACTCTTGCCCTTTGAAAAAATTCCCATGTATATTCATTTATTTCGCTTTCATAAGATTTGAGGATGCGTTTTCTTTTATTTGGTGCAGACTCGCCTTCATACCGCTTCAAAATAGTATCTCTCTTTCTAAATATATTGCTTACTGTTCCTTTTGCTATATGGAATTGTGCAGAACATTGTCTTTGGGAATGATTTTTAAGATATTCTATGACTTCCATTTTTTTACTTAAGCACAGTTCATTGTGATTCTTTTTATTTTTCGTCACAGTCTTCATTTGTTTCAAATGAATTCGGTACGAAACAGCGAAAATCAGAATAGCGAAAAATAAAAAAATGAGTCATAAAATAATATTATATTTATATATTGTCCCTTTATAAATACTAATTTTTTGTATATGACAATAATAATGTATGACCATTATATGAACTCTATCTTCTATAAATATTATCTATAAAATACTAATATTTTGTTTATTTAGTGTATTTTTAATTAAATATAATGTTTAATATTAATTTTATATGACATTAATAATGTATGGTTTGCCTTGCATAATATAATATGAATCATTTTTAAATCCTAAATATGATATTTATATATTTTCAATTTATAAATACTGATTTTTTGTAATTTTAATATAAAAGCATGGCAAACAAAATATCTTTCTTTCTTATAAAATTTTATTCATATAAATAAAGGGTTTTTTTTTAATTATTTATATTTTAATTAATAACTTTTACATTCAATTTTAAGTATACACTGCATAGACAAATTGAACATTTATATTTGCACTGAATAATATATAATATTATAATAACAAAATCATAATACAATATGCATTCATAAAATCTTAACAGTATATCTATTGGAAAATGACAATCATCGAAAATAGATTTATTGATTATGTTTATTTAAAGGGTTGAAAAAAAGGAATATTATATTCATATAATAATAATTTTCAATAGCTGCTTTTCCTGCTGATTTATTATGCAAGCTAAATTATTTGCCACTAAGAAATTTAAATAATATTAGTAAATAAAGGGTTTTTTAAATTATTTATATTATAAATAATAACTTTTACATTCAATTTTAAGTGTACACTGCATAGAGAAATTGATCATTTATATTTGCACTGAATAATATATAATATTATTATACACAATAATAATACAATATGCATTGATAAAATATTAACAGTGTATCTATTGGAAAATGACAATCATCTAAAATAGAATTATTAATTATGTTTATTTAAAGGGTTGAAAAAAAGGAATATATTCATATAATAATAATTTTCAATAGCTGCTTTTCTTGCTGATTTATTATCATTTGCAACTGAATTATTTGCCACTAAGAAATTTAATTTAATATTAGTAAATAAAGGGTTTTTTTAAATTATTTATATTTTAAATAATAACTTTTACATTCAATTTTAAGTGTACACTGCATAGACAGATTGATCATTTATATTTGCACTGAATAATATATAAAATTATAATAATACAATATGCATTGATAAAATATTAACAGTGTATCTATTGGAAAATGACAATCATCTAAAATAGAATTATTAATTATGCTTATTTAAAGGGTTGAAAAAAAGGAATATTCTATTCATATAATAATAATCTTCAATAGCTGCTTTTCCTGCTGATTTATTATCATTTGCAAGCTGAATTATTTGCCACTAAGAAATTTAATTTAATATAATAAAAAAAAACTAATTATATACTTTTCTCATATAAATTTTCGCCATATTGGGAACATTTTTAAAAATGTTCCCTGATTTTCGCTGTTTCGGTCTTCGCGATATCGTGCCCAGGCCGTTTCAAATAAAGCTATTAAATCGAAAGGCAAAGCCCAGATGATTTCTTAAATTTTATAATCTAAATCACATGACTTGTCATATTTGATTGGTTTTTCTTTAATTTTTTTAAAATAAAAATTTCAATATTAACGTGCTTGATATGATATGATATCAGCAGCACTATCTCACCTAGTGTTGTTAAACGTCTCAATTTTGATAAACGTCTAACTATTTGCAAAAATATCCCACAAGCCTAGAGATTTTACATAGAGAAGCAATGGCGTAACTAGCCTTACAATCTCAGAGGAGAAAAATTTTTTAAATTATATTCAAAATTACCAATTTATCTTCATTTTTGGATAACATCGCCCAAAATTACTTTCTTTTTTTATGGTTAATATTATCCAAAATTACTTATTTTAGCTAACATTAACAAATTTACATTTGGTATAAGAAAAATTTCAAAATTTTGTTAGGCTATTCAAATTTTTTTTAAAGGGTTCTCTAGCCCCGGCGCCTTCCCCTTAATAACCCTTTTGTATAGAAGATAGAAAGGTATCATCTATTAACGAAACCTTGATATAATATTTTTTGGCTAAAATATTGGGTTACACATTTTTTAAAATCCCATTCTTTTAAAGTGCAGATTGATAGTTTTTTTTAAAAGCTACTTTTAAAAGTAACGAAATGCCGCTATCACTATTTTTCTCAAAAAAATAGCTCGAATTTAGAATGTTTTTGTTATAAATAGTTTTATTATTTTTTTGTATGAGTCATGAAATATTTTTTTTGTTTGAAATTTTATTTTTAATATTTTTTTTTGTTTCGCGCAGTCATCTTGAACGTCATTATATAAATATTTTTAATATTTATTATGTAAAAAAAAAATAAATAATAATTTAATATTTATAAAAAAAAATAATCTTATATAAACTAAAAAAAAAGTGGAAATTCATTATTATTTAATCAATTATATTTTTTTTATATTTATTGTTTTAAAGAAGAATAAAACCAATATATTCAAAAAAAAAAGGGGTAAAAAAAAATATACTGTTAAGTTAAACGTTTCTGTACAGTGAAATTTTGAAATTGGTGCCGTGTTTATACAAAGCAACCTGGTTAGTGCGGTTGTCGTAATATCATATAGTGGTATTTGAGTCTTCGAGTGGAAAATATCATATAGTGGTATTTGAGTCTTGAAGTGAAGTGTACATCGTCTTCATCTACATCTACGGTAAAATATCATATAGTGGTATTTGAGTCTTCGAGTGGAAAATATCATATAGTGGTATTTGAGTCTTGAAGTGAAGTGTACATCGTCTTCATCTACATCTACGGTAAAATATCATATAGTGGTATTTGAGTCTTCGAGTGGAAAATATCATATAGTGGTATTTGAGTCTTGAAGTGAATTGTACATCGTCTTCATCTACATCTACGGTAAAATATCATATAGTGGTATTTGAGTCTTGAAGTGAATTGTACATCGTCTTCATCTACATCTACGGTAAAATATCATATAGTGGTATTTGAGTCTTCGAGTGAAAAATATCATATAGTGGTATTTGAGTCTTGAAGTGAAGTGTACATCGTCTTCATCATCGACATCAGCTGTCCATTTATTTTTATTTTTTTTCTCTGCTCTCTCAAAATAAAAAAAAAAAGTCTTATCGTACGGAAGTGCTGTCCGAATTTTACGAGTTGTAAATCTGTTACACAAAATTTGCCCAAATTTTTGTCGTATCTTTAGACTTATTAACTGTAGATGTACATGTGTATTATTGGGTTGTTTACACTATTAATAATATCATATCTATTAACATTACAAATAACAAAAATTTTTATTTTGAAATTAATTATAAATTTTTTATAAGGTCGAAATGAAAAGTTTAAAATTTGTAAAATACTGGAAAATACAGTATAATATTTTTGGGGCATTGGTTATATTAGTAATATGGATGTGTAGCTTAATATGGGGAAGAAAGTTGAGAAGAAGTCGAAGTGTGAAAATAAAGGGGCAGACATTGACTATAGAAGGACATAATGGGGAAGAGGATGTTATGGGAAAGGTAACATGGTTCCCAGTGCAGGAGTTAATTAATGGGTGGACGGATAGCGAATTAGATAAATTAACCTATAGGCCTGAAAGGAGAGATTCATCTACTAATCAGAGATTGGGGACATATAGGGGACCTAAAGAAAGTTCACAGGGAAGGAGAGGAGAAATGAGACCCAACTTTGATTCAAGAGTAAGGGGGAGAATGAATTGTTATAATTGCGGAAGACAGGGACATATGGTCAGAGATTGCCAAGAAACGAAATGTTTTGAATGTGGAAAATATGGACATATAGCCACGTTTTGTTCAGGAAGACGTGATAAGCTACGATGTGCAGGTTGTGGTCGATTTGGTCATAATAGGGAGGAATGCAATGTGGGTAATTTCAAAACTAGAGGCGGTTTTCCGCAGAGGGACATGGGGCAAAGTGCTCCAAATGTTAGAATTATAGAAAGTGAAAAAAATAAAGAGGTAGGAATACCATTTTTGGCTGTGAATAAAGAGCAGAATAGAATCTGTTTCCGTTGCCGGAAGGAAGGACATGGGGCGAGAGATTGCGAGTATTTGTGACTATATGATGGCAAAGAGCATGCCGCAAAGGTCGGGGGGCTTTGGGCGAAAGAGATGGAAAGATTAGATTATAGTGAGAAAGATTGGGTATCAAAGGGCATATATATGATACAAGAGGAAAGGATACATGATCCTTGCCCTAGAGTTTGGATAAATTTGAATGGAAATATGGTATCCATGTTATTTGATACCGGGGCAGCCATATCCGTGATGGGATATGAGAAATATCAGAGTATTTGGTCGGAAGGGATAATTAAACGGGAGGACATCAAGATCCGTCAGTTGGATGGATCAGAAGTCGCAGTGATGGGAAGGGTGGAGTTAAAGGTGGTATTAGAGAATAGAGTGGAGATTTTGGACTTATGGATAGTAGATCGAAAAATAGAGTCAGTAGTGGGATGGGATTGGATCACCCGAATTGGTCCAGATTGTGGTTTTTGGGGGGTATTCGCATGGTGTGGTGTATTTTTACCTGTTGCAAGATATGAAGAAAATAGAGATATGAATTTGTGGTATGGAGAGAGATTGCCAGGAATTGAAACCTTTTTGGAAGGGGAAAGGAGAAGAGAGGATAATAGGGTTGTTAGAGACTGTAGGGGAGGTTTTGGGGGGAACTGTAGGGGAGGTTTTGGGGGAAACTATAGGGGAGGTTTTTGGGGGAACTATAGGGGAGGTATTGGGGGGAACTATAGGGAAGGTTTTGGGGGGAACTATAGGGGAGATATTGGGGGGAATTTTAGGGGAGGTATTGGGGAGAATTATAGGGGAGGTATCGGGGGAAATTATAGGGGAGGTTTTGGGGGGAACTATAGGGGAGGTTTTGGGGGGAACTATAGGGGAGGTATTGGGGAGAATTTTAGGGGAGGTATTGGGGAGAATTTTAGGAGTTGTCGCGACTTTGGGAGAAAGGAAGAAAGAAATGATACTGAAGAACAGAAAGAAATTCATGATCAAGGAAAGTTTGAAGCGGAGCTGGAGAAATTGGCAGATGGGAAAATAATGTTGCCAGAAGAAGAGACTAGAGAAGATGATGATTTGGAACAAGGAAGTACTAAGGGAACACATAGCCAACAAATGGAAATGGATGGAAAGGAAACGAGACGACGGGAAGAGAGGGAATTGCGGGATAGAGAGATAGAATTTGGTATGATCAAAGTACAAGAGGGAGTGAGAAACTTGATGAAAAATTACAAGGAGATTTTTGATGAGAAGTTGGGTTGTCTCCGAGATTATGAAGTGGATATCAAATTAAAGGAGGGATATGTGCCCAAGTTTTGTGCATTACGTCGGATACCGTTCGAATGGCGAAATGAAGTAGACAAGGAATTGGAGCAGTGGGTGCAGAAGGGCATTGTTTGTCCAGTGGAATATAGCGAATGGGCAACACCGTTAGTACCCGTGAAGAAGGCCAATGGAAAGCTTCGTTTATGCGCTGATTTTCGGGTCACGCTAAACCCGTGGGTTGTGGAGATAAAATATACGTTACCTCGGATTGAAGAAATATTAGCTAATTTAAAGGGTAGCATATATTTTTCAAAGGTGGACTTTTCGAACGCTTACTTACAATTGAAGGTGAAACCCGAGGTACAAAAGCTATTAACGATCACGACTCCGAAGGGATTGTATGCCTTCTGTAAATTGCCGTTTGGACTTAGCGTGTCGGCTCCAATTTTTCAACGAACGATGGCGGCAGTTTTTCAAGGACTAGAGGGAGTATTTTACTACATGGATGACGTATTAGTGATGGGAAAGACTCCCGAGCAACACGAACGAAGATTGGAGGAGGTGTTCAAAAGGATCAAGGATAAAGGATTGCGGGCAAGCGTTGAAAAAAGTGTGTTGGGAGTATCAGAAATCGTATATTTGGGGCATAAAATCAATGGGAAAGAGGTCAGACCTTTAGACAAAAATATGGCAAATATGCATGTTGAAGCCTAATAATAAAGTGGAAGTACAAGCTTTCTTGGGAATGGTGAATTATTATCACCGTTTTGTGGAAGGCTTCGCGCAGATAGCGGCGCCGTTGTATAAATTGTTAAAGAAAGGAGAAAGATTTGAATGGAAGATTGAACAGGAGGAGGCTTTTGAGGAGTTGAAATTGAGGATTGGAAGGGAACCAGTACTAGTGTGTTTTGATAACGATGTGCCAGTGATATTGGCCGTTGATGCTTCGAATAGGGGTGTGGGTGGAGCGCTATTACATTGTATAGACGAATTGGAGAGACCTATTTTATTTTTCTCAAGAATCTTTAGAGAGGCCGAGACAAGATATTCAGTGATCGAGCAAGAAGCGCTAGCGGTTATATTTGGATTGACTAAATGTCGGGAATACTTGATCGGACGTCGATTTGTCATATATACGGATCACAAGCCCTTGGTTCATCTTTTCAGGAAGGACAACAAGGAGCTCATGTTGTCGCCTAGGTTGCAGCGATGGCTATTGCTGGTAGGCAGTTTCGACGTGCAAGTGAAATACCGACGAGGAAGAGAAAATTACTTACCGGATATTCTTTCTAGATGTGGAGCGGGAGAGGATTGCGAAACGAGTAGGTCGAAAGATATGGATGAAGAGGATGAGCACGGGTTGATTAGAGCGATAGTCGGAATATCTAAAGGAGGACCAGTTGCATGGGAACAACTCAAAAATGCTACTTTAAAAGATCGCGAGTTGACGAGAATCAAAGCGTGCATATTGGGTGGGAAGCAATGGCGAGATGGGGACAAAAAGTTCAAGCAAGTGGAGAAAGAGCTAACGATAGTGGACGAGTGTGTGGTACGAGGAAGTCGGGGAGTGGTGCCGTCCAGATTGCGGGAGGCAGTAAAGGCAATGATCCATGCTGGACATCAGGGTATGGAACGAATGAAACAATGGGGGCGGGAATACTTATGGTGGCCTGGCATGAATAAAGAAATCGAGAATATGGTGAGAAGTTGTGAAATGTGTAATTCATGGGCAAGTATGCCTCGAAAGGACAAGAAAAGTATTTGGCCTAGGGCTACTCAACCATGGGAAAGAGTACACTTAGACTTTTTCGACTTCGAAAATAAAATATATCTCCTCGTAGTGGACGCTTACTCAAAATGGGTAGAGTATCAAGAAGTAAAGGGGTTAACAACGCAAGTAGTAATTAAGACGTTAAAAGATCTTTGGGCAAAGTTTGGGGTAGCGGAAATAGTCGTGTCGGATGGAGGACCCGCTTTTATAAGTAAACAATTTAAAGTTTTTTGTACTGAAACTGGGGCGAGACACATTTTGGCGCCTCCTTACCACCCAAGCTCAAATGGGCAGGCGGAAAGGTTGGTGGCGGTGGTAAAGAGTTGGTTGAGGAAGTCGAAATATGGGGGTGGAGAGATTTGGATAGCGATTGCGTATTATAACAATAGTCGAAAGGGAGAGGAATTGTCCCCAGCAGAAAAGTTTTTGGGCCGTAGAACTCGTATTCAGTTGGATTTCTTAAGACCCAAACCGGCGCAGGAGGAAAATTCAATGGATAATCAGTGTGAATTTGTGAATGGTCAGACCGTATGGGCGAGAATTTTTGGAGGATCCCGAAAATGGGAGTCAGGAATAATTATACAGAACATGGGGCATAAAATGGTGAGAGTAAAATTCGTGGACGGAAAGGAAGGAGTTAGACACGTAGAACAGATACGGAAGAGAGTAGAGTCTGAAAGATTGAGATCTAGCCATGATGCGGCGAGGAGAGAGGGATAGATATCTTAGCAATTCTCGAGTTAAAGCACATAGAAAATAATAATACTAATAATGATAATTAACCCAAGATGATAATACCTCCGCAGTTCCGAGATTAAATCAAATTTAAAAAAAAAAACGATAATGATAATTAACCCGAGCTAGTAATACCTCCGCAATTCCGGAATTACATCACATTAGTAAAAAAAAACAAAATAAATACTAATTAACCCGAGATAGTAATACCTCCGCAATTACGGGATTAAATCACATTTAATAAAAAAAAAAAAAGGGGATCAATAATAATAATGGTAACCGGTGCTAATAATGTTGGAGGTTAAGGGGCTATATATATATATATATATATATAAAAAAACTTTCGTGATTCTCGAGTTAAAGCACATAGAAAATAATAATACTAATAATGATAATTAACCCAAGATGATAATACCTCCGCAGTTCCGAGATTAAATCAAATTTAATTTAAAAAAAAAAAATCGATAATGATAATTAACCCGAGATATTAATACCTCAGCAATTACGGGATTACATCACATTTAATAAAAAATAAAATAAATATCAATGATATCAGTTAGTCAATGATTTCGTGATTCGGGGAATAAAGCGAGTATTTTTTTTAAAAAAAGGGGGAACTTAGTTAGAGTGCCAATAAATGATGCACAAAAAGTTAAAAATGTTGGGTATGTTAACCAAAGTAATAAATTAAAGTAAGGGATAATTTTGAGAGATGTCGGGATGGTAAATCAAAAGTTGGAAATAGAACTTGTATATAGTTGGAGAATAGAATAAAAAGGAGTGACAATTGGACTAGGAAACAAATAAAAAGTGGTTCCAAGTTGGACTGAAACACGGAAAAGATTTCGGCAATGACAGTTGGAAGCGAGACACAAAACAAGGAAGGTTCCAATAATTGGGCTTTAAAAGGGGAATTTTATAAATGCAAAATTATAATTTTTTTTTGTATAATTGTTAATTTTGTTAAAGAAAATTTTCCTGTATTTATTCATTTTGACCCAAAAGAAAAGTGAGTGAAAACTGTTATTAATTTTTTTATATTATACCTTTTTCTTAAAAAAGAATGTCGGGGAGGCATCGGTGCATATATTGGGAGAATTTAACCGTTAGAATAAGTATTTACCGAGGACATGTTAATGAAGATGGGCGACCAATCTCGCCTTCGATTTACCGAAACATAATAGACCATTCGCCTCCAATACGCCGAAACAGTAGATCGCCCCCGGTCCAAAGGGGAGTGTCCGGAATAATAACGAACAATTTAGATCAC